TACAACACGGTACTGCACTCCCATCTAAGGGCATGCTCAGGGTTTTCCACATACCACTATAGATCATTAGTAGACAGAGGTTTTTCAGATCGTTATCGTATAATTATATTTTAAATAAATAACCGTTACTTTTGTACAAATTTCACATTAATACAAATTCAAATAATTAAGTAGGGCTTAAATGCCTCCATTAAATGCAATAAGCATCGAGTAGTTTACAGTAAACGCATATTTTTATCAGATTAGGTTCACGTCGTCGTCGGGGCCAGCGGAGGTGGTTGGCAGCCGCCCCCGCATTGCACGGTTTTATCTGTCTGGGAGAGGCACTCGATTTACCCGAGCCTCTCCATTTTTCCATCTGCCAGGGGACCAATGGTCCAATACTAGAGTGTTCTGGTGACACGGCCATAGCTTGTCGGGTTTCATCTCCCATGAGACGGTGTAGCGTACGTGTTTTGGTGGCTCTGGGGACCCACTGGGCAGTTCATTATCGGGCTCACAGAGGAGAATCCTACTCACGTCGTCTACGTCAGGGATAATCTCTTAAGCTCTCGGAGAACTCATACAACAAGCGTTTGATCTCCGGAAACTTCTGAAGATCGCATAGCGTGTCTAACTGCTGATCGTAACATACATGCAGTATGGTATGAGTATGAAAATTTCTTTGATAGAAAAATGCGCTTGGTCTCTGAAAGAGCTCGCAGTTTGCACAATAGAGCTCGAGAAAGTAGTTTCGATTATCGCCAACCCGTTTTGCCTTCATACTCTACAGGCGTACCGCAGATAAGTTTTCACAAGGTATAATGAACTAGCTGTTTTCCCGCGACTTTGCCGCAAAATTATAGCCTATGACATGCGTGATTTAGCTTCCCGTAGGTCGGAATCTCTTTGAAACTATCGGTCCAGTAGTTTTGGGGCAAATTCGATGCAAACAAACAAACAACCAAATCTTTCTTCTTTATAATATTAGTATATCTTAGGTGTGGTCCGATGGGGTAGTGTTAGCGTATTCGGTTTAAATTGCATTGAAATAAATATGTAAAATACTGCACAACAAGGACATACTTATCTATACTTATAATAAATCTGTAGGGAGGTCAATTTTGTACATGAAATATATTTCCAAAATAACTATCAGGGGTGATTAGGGATCGATACTGATGCCAAAAATGCAATCAGTAAAATTTTTGTATGTCTGTCTGTCTGTCTGTATAACCGTTATAGAAACAAAAACTACTCGACGGATTTTAACGAAACTTGGCACAATAATTTTTCATACTCCTGAGCTGGTTACAGTATACAGAGTAGTGAAGGGAAATGTTGGAAAACGGGAGAAGTTACTCCATTTTTTAAGCTTCCGTCGCGTGTGCAACCTCAATGGTTAAAGCTACCCAGAAATCATGTATGACGGAAATGTTCTCCTTAAAATTATATAAAAAATATCCTACGACAGCATATGTCTATCTTTTATGGTTGACTCACAATAACACGTGTAACTCCCGATAGCTTAACAGTTCGAAGCTTTCTGATTGTATTTGTCTATTGTCTACTCTTACGTTTATAACACTCTCAGTCATCTCTAATTAAAAAAGTTAACAGTATTTTATTTATTTAATCTTAATTGCATAGTGAAATAGACAAATGGCGGACTATTATTAAGTATTCCATAAAAAAGAATCATAGAAATCGGTATAGAAACACCAAAGTTATACATGAAATAAGCTAATAATAAGCCATCGCGCATGAATACTGAATCATGCTAGAAGGATTGTTCTGGCCAGTATTTCATCTATACTAATATTATAAAGCTGAAGAGTTTGTTTGTTTGAACGCGCTAATCTCAGGAACTACTGGTACGAATTGAAAAAATATTTTTGTGTTGAATAGACCATTTATTGAGGAAGGCTTTAGGCTATATTACATCACGCTGCAACTTTTGGGAGCGAAAAAAAAATGGAAAACGCGGACGAAGTTGCTGGCGGCCACTAGTCTCAAATATGTGTGAAATTTCTAAATTGTAGCTTTTCGGTCTTTCATGTTATATGGTTGCCTACCCCTGGTCTTCCTCAGTCTTATATACATTATACTCTTTGTGGTTGATGCCTAGATAAGATTATATAATAGTGACGTTTTTTATTTTTATCAATTAATTTGATGCATGATTATTGGCATGCAGTTGATTAGATTACCTAATTAAAAGCAATTACTTAATATTTTATCAATGCATGGACCACAAACAAATTTATTTTATAATTTGATATTTATATGAATGGTTATTTTAAATGTCAATGGCGGACACAATTGCGAACAGTCTTATCGATGTTATGGCGATATTTCGTATCGTCTTAATTGTTTGATATATCTTTTGGTAGATCAATTTAGGATAAAAGTAATAATTTGGTAACGCTGCTGTCAAATCTACAATCAACATTCTTTATCATGCGTTCTTCGTTAATAAAGTACATGTTAACGTAGTAAAATGAAACGAATCATCGCTAAGATGTTGTATCCTATGGCTGGAGTCTTAGCTGGTCCCATCGACGGCTCTTGGGAGTTTTATCTATTTCAAAAATGTAACGATGAACACTGACCTGATCCTTCAGTTTCATTTTCGAACGCTCAATGTCACCCCACGTAATGTTATATAAAAAATGTGCTCAAAATCAGCGGGTTTTTACTTCCGATAACCCTTAACAAATTACCAATCGGTTTACATTTCTTTTGTCGTTTTATATTAGCCAGAGATTTAAACAAAACGTGTGCACTTTTACCCCAAAAGGCTAACCATAACGAGACATGTCGTGTTTTGTATAGAAGAAAAAATACATTAGTTTGAAAAATTGAGAAGCAACAGATTATCTTGGTATGAACATCTGAGGAGTAGTGATGATTTGCATGTAATTAGCTTAAATGTTATGAGTTTAAATGAGCTTAAATGTGGAAGGAAAGGTAAGTAGAAGAAAAGATGGTTAAACTGTAAGAAAAATGCGTAAGAGAGGAGTGAATATTGAGATGACGGTTGAAAAATGAATACCTACATATTGCGATAGCCCAAAATAAATAATTAGATAAAGAGAGAACAAATTGAGTCAATAAAATTAAAGATTATTATTGTATAATTAAATAATAATAACTAAAATCTGATAATCGAATGCACAAAAATTATGTAGACAATTACATTTTTATCAATTTGTTTAAACGAGATAAGATTTTATGTAATATAAATGTCCTGAGAGTATAAGGAACATCACTAATTCAACAGAACACTTAATCAACATGTTGCGACCGTTTCTGTTCTTGACAACCATCTTGGTCGTCCGGGGCCAAGTCACATCCACTGCTGTCCACAAATGTAATTGTTATTGTTTAATTCTGAAACCTGTCTTTTAGTTAACAATTTTTCAAAACTTTAATTGAAGATCAAGATTCTTAAAAAGGAAAAGGCACTTTCATTGGTTTGTAACTATAAGTCTCAGTTGTAAATGTTAATAATATTGTACTGCATCATGTATTCAATAAGATTTAGATAACTTTGATCAGAACACGATTACCTACTTACAACGGATCGAGTGAATCCTATACCCATTCAGTTCACCACATCTACCAGTACCATGCCACGCCCCCGCGTCTCTCTCTAACCCCTCGCCCTAACGTGGGGCGATAAACCGTAGCCATGATTTTTATTATTGCTGACAAAATCTTACATGATTTATTGTGATGCTTCCAAAATGATTGATAGTCTATTTATTTTTGCTTATAGAATTTTAAAATGGCATACCAATTAATTATTTCTCATATCTTTTTATATTTTATGTTTCTAGGTAAGTACCTGATTCCCTGGGCCGTTGCCATCGCATGTTCATATTAAAAACTGTGTAATACCACCATGCCGTCTGCCGCAGCAAAAACATGCTGAGCTAGTTATGGTCTTCGAAGCTCGTAAGCGACATTGATTTCGCATTTACACCAAAAATAACAGATTTTTGTGTAATTCAATGGTTGACAATGACTCTTGAAAGTAGGGATTATGAAAATTTTATTAGATTACGAATTGTGAACGTTAGGATTGAGACCACCTCGGCGCGAGAAGTGGTCCTGCATCCATGGAGGATGGACATAGCAGTTTAAGTGGGTATGCGCCTGCTATCTGGCTAGTTTTCATTTCCCCTGCGGTAAAAAAAGGGAAGCAGCTAGATAGTTAAACCTGGTTAAACGGACGCACCCTAGGTCTAAGGAAGAAGGGGCGTCTAAGGAAGAGGTGGCGTGGGGGCCGGTCCGTCCCGGGTCTCTTGTCCTAGGAGGCCTCCAAAAGTCTACTAGTTCCCTCGATTAATGGGCGTCTTGTTAACGTAGTATCAAGTTTCTGCTCCGGTTTCAAAAAGTTTGAAAAATATTTTTAGTTTTTTACAGCGCGAACTATAACAACTATAACCGCAATGACCACAGCCTTTGTCGGTATCATACCACTGCCAGTGCCATTTCCTTTGGGTAACCATACGCAAGCATGTAACAACCTCGAGAACATTTCTTGCCCTCTTGCTAAAGGAACATCTGCTTCAGGATATTCATCGAACCATCTGTGATGATTTTGGTAAACATATTCAAATCATGTATGAAGAGGACTGAGAATAACCCACTTTAAAACGTTTACAGATATAAGTATTATTATTTAATTATTACTTTACTGAATTCTTGGACGCGTTCCATAGATTATGATTTAAATACTTAGCTACCTGAAAAGGTCTGACGTTAAAAAAAATTGTCTAATAAATTTCTATTGCAGCAATAGCGTAGTTTCGGTAGTGAAAAATAAGTCACGAAATTGCACAAATACTATAATTTACATAGGCATTAACATAGATTCTTATTTTGAGTCATAAAATCGTCCGATTATCTTATTATGTTAAAATTAAAAGTCGAATTTTTTTACGTCCCGTGTTTCAAGTGACACACATATCACAGATCTATTAAAACCACTAAAACACTATCTTTCCTTTCAGAATACTAGAGCCAACGTCGAGTTCAGATTAGTAGACCAAAATAATGAAATAATTGTATGCATCGACGTGCCGTTCAATATTGTGCCAGCAAACAGCACAATAACGCAACTACGCAATAATTCAAAAAGCTTTTTTTATTTAATACCTAAAAATGATTTACAAGTAGGTACTCTCTAAAAAGGTGATCAAGAGGTATAAGAAACAAAAAGGAAAAGACAATTTAAGTTAAATCGCATTACAAGTGGTGTTGGAAACAAAGTAAAAAACCGATTACATTAAATAAAAGACCAAGACTGCCGCCGTAAAAAGAAACTGAAGCATCATAATCATAATAGAAAGAGCCATTGCGTTTTAAAAATTTGAATTTGCGTTTTAGATTTTGTATTAGTGTTCGTGACTCTTCATGTGTCAGCGACTGTTAAACCCTTGATATTTGAAGCTAGGATAGTTTCATAACTATTAACTATCAATATTCCCATTGTTGTTATTATCATTTAGTAACCTTTTGACATACTAAGTTCACTTATCAATTTGTTAACAAACAGGCATCTGTTTTCCTATGGGAAACAATAATATTATGATTACATATTTTAAAAAGGGCCATCTGTTCTTAAACCCATTTCGAGGTAAACTATCTTAATTACTCTTTTACTAATATTTACAACAGACACCCTTTGTGCTCCCGCGACGTCACCATATGCCCTTGTGCTCCCACGACGTCACCATATGCCTGATTGTACTGAATATAAATAGGACGCTGTAAAATTATTAGTTAGTTCTTACTCAACCACCAACTACGAAAGATGTAGCTAGGTTTATTATAATAAATACATTTTTAAAAAGTCTTCCCGTCGTCTAAATTGTAACAGTGGCGCAGTCGGTAGGATAGCTAGGAAGTGACTTCAGGCTCATCGCGAGAAGAAGCCAGCCCCATCAGCGTACCCGTAAAGTTGCTGCATACAACCAAGGGAGCGGAAAAAATGAAAGCTGTGGTCCTGCTAATGTAAGTCCTCACATATTTCATTCCGTTAACTGATTGGGTATAACCTTCCTTGTCTTCCCATTTTTATATATTTTGTGTTTTGTTCGCGATCCTTATATTCTTATTAAAATTGAATTAAGATCGGGAAAAATGGCAACGGGAAAAGACGATAAAATTGAAATTAAAGTTGAACCCCTAATTGCAACGGGTCAATTATTAAATATAATACCAAAATTTAGTGAAAACACTAAAAATTTAAATTGTTTTATTTCGAACTGTAAAACTGCGCAAAAACTTGCCAGTCCAGTTCAAGCGCAAATATTATTACCACACGCTATAGCCCAGCTAGAGGGAAAAGCGGCGGCTTTTGCTAATAGTCGATCTTTCGACAATTTAACACATTTCTTAGATGAACTAAGTCAACACTTTAAAAAAAAACGCAACATTAGCGAATTATTATTAGCGTCTCAATATACTAGACAAAAGGGATCTATGAGTCGTTACGTTGATTCATTCAACGAAATTAGAGATGAATTGTTATCAAATGAAATTATATTGAATGATAGATATGGAGTTTTGAAAAGCGAATATGACAAAATTCTTTTGAATAATTTCCTTGTAGGTTTAGAACCTAATTATTATAATAAAATTAGATTAGAGAAACCCAGGAGCACCGAAGAAGCATTTAACTTAGCTCTTGAGGAAGAACGTTCATTGAATTACTATAATAATGTTTTAAATAAATTTTCTGAGCTAAAGGTAAATAAAAATGAAACTCAAAGCTCTAAACCGAGGCTTTCTCAGCCTTCCACCAGCGGAATAAATAACAATCGCAACAACTTCAACCGTAATAATCGTTTTTGTAGTTTTTGTAAAATTCCTGGCCATACACAAGAATATTGTAGAAAAAAGAATGCACCTGTTGCATCAACATCACGCGAAAATTTTGATAATAGACGTCGCGTAAATAATTTAAACGATGTGACGGAAGTCGAGGCCGAGCAGACGACTTCCGGCGACGAAGCGGAAGCCCTGTTGAACCTGCTCGAGTACTCATAAATAACGTAATTTTACCAAAGCGTAATAAGTTGCTTTTTATTAGATATAAAATTGATCAAATAGAAATAAAATTATTGATTGACACAGGCGCTGCAATCTCTACAATAAATTCAACTATTTCAAATTCCTTAACAAATATAAAACTTCATAAAGAAAACATTAGTATAAAAGGAATAGGAAACGAAAAATTTACTTGTTCCGAATATATAGAGTTACCTATACCTTCAGGAAAATATAAACACAAATTTTATGTTATAGACCTTCAAACTCCTTATGACGGAATCTTAGGGTTAGATTTTCTAAAACGATTTAAAGCCAAAATCAATACAGAAAATAATGAAGTTCAATTATTAAAGCCTACTGAAAATCAAATAGAAAATAAAGAAAATTATTCGGGAAAACGGATCATATTATCGGGTCGAACTGAACAAATAATACCGATCCATATAAAAAATGTCGCTGAAGGCGAATGCTTACTGGAATCAAGCAAAATAAATGATAAAATTATTTTACCAAACGCACTTATAAATGTTAAAAATCACATCGCATATGTGTCGTGTATAAATACCGTTTGTCGGAACACGGAAATGGATATTCCTGTTCTTAACGCAAATCGTATTAATTTAAATGAAATTCAAATAAATTCAATATTAAATAACTCGTTCGAACGGCGTGAAAAAATATCGAGCCTTCTAAGAACTGAGCATATGAACAATGAAGAAAGAAAAAGTATCTTAAAAATTTGCAAAGAATTTAATGACGTGTTTCACCTGGAAGGAGATCGTTTTACTTTTAGTAACGCAGTGAAACATCGTATTGACACTGGGGACTCTCCGCCAGTTTACACGAAAAATTACAGATATCCACAAATTCATAAAGAGGAAGTGAAAACACAAACGAAAAACCTCTTAGCACAAAGAGTAATAAGACCTAGCCATAGCCCTTATAATTCACCTATTTGGATAGTGCCTAAGAAGGTGGACGCAAGCGGTAAGACTAAATGGCGAATGGTTATAGATTATAGGAAATTGAATGAAGTTACCAAAGCGGATAAATATCCAATACCTAATATTGTGGACATATTAGATAAATTAGGTAAAAGTAAATACTTTTCAACTCTTGATTTAGCAAGTGGTTTCCATCAAATTGAAATGCACCATCAAGATATTGAAAAAACAGCCTTTTCCACAGAAGAAGGACACTTTGAATATACGCGGATGCCATTTGGACTAAAAAATGCACCCGCTACGTTCCAAAGAGTGATGGATAACGTATTAACGGGCCTTACAGAGGACCATTGTCTGGTCTACTTAGACGATTTAATTATCCATGCTTCATCGTTAGAAGAACATGAGCTAAAGTTAAAAAATATACTGAATAGATTACGGGAGTATAACTTAAAGCTTCAACCAGACAAATGCGAGTTTCTTAGAAAAGAAGTCGCTTATTTAGGCCATATAATAACGGATAAGGGTATACTGCCAAACCCAGATAAAATAAAAGCTGTAAAACTATTTCCACAACCTAAAAATACTAAAACAATTAAGGCTTTTCTTGGATTAGTAGGTTATTATCGTCGGTTTATTCCAAATTTTGCGGATATCACGAAACCTCTAACAAAATTATTAAAGAAAAATATTAAATTCATTTGGACGGAGGAATGCACAAAAGCAATGGAAATTTGTAAAGAATTATTAACAACGGCACCTATATTACAATATCCTGATTTTGAAAAGGAATTTATAGTAACTACGGATGCTTCAAACGTCGCGATAGGTGGAATCCTTTCACAGGGAAAAGTAGGAGAAGATAAGCCGGTTGCTTACGCCTCTCGTACGCTTAACGAGACGGAACAGAAATATTCTACTATAGAAAAAGAATTATTGGCTATAAAATGGTCAATTAAACATTATAGACCATATTTGTTTGGAAGAAAATTCACCATCGTCACTGATCATCAACCACTTACATGGCTATTTTCAGTAAAAGATCCTGGATCACGTCTCGTCCGATGGAGATTGGAACTTGAAGAATACGACTATAAAATATCATATAAACCAGGAAAGAAAAATCAAAATGCGGACGCATTATCAAGACCTTTTGTTAACTATTTACAGAACAATATAAATGACGAAATGTCACATTTTAGGAAACAATTATTAGAAGGATCAATAAATCCTATTGATATAATTGAATCAACCAATTCTATATTTGATAATAAACATCAAAATATGATCTTGTTTTTACCTTGTCAAGTAACGGCAAATAATGAAATTTATGAAAAACTAATAACATATTTTCCGACAGAAATAAAAAATTTAAAAGGAAAATTAAAAACAATTAAAGTTGTTCCAGATCCATATACAATAAATAGAATATATTACTTATGTTTCGATAGAAACACAAACTCAGATTCGGAAATGCTAGAGAGTTTCTATAAAACATTAATTGAATTAAAAATAGCATTGATTGATAAAAATGTTACGGATACAACATTGTTTATATATATTCCCGAAACAACATCGCACGATCGCGAATATGATCGAGAAATCGCAAAACAAGTATTATCATATGTTTTCCACGAAAATAATTATAAATTTGTGATTTGTGAATTAACGGATCAAATAATAATACCACCTGAAAGTCAAAGACAAAAGATAATATCTTACTATCATGACTCGAGATTTGCTGCACATAAAGGCATGGATGAAACAATTAGGAGAATCAAATTAAAATATAAATGGAAAAATCTGACTTCAGACGTAAAAGATTATATTAAAACTTGTGATACTTGTCAAGTAAATAAAATCGATAGAAGAAATTGGTCACAACCATTTGTAATATTATCTAGCGTAAATAAACCATTAGAAAGGATAAACGTAGATATAATTGAATTTGGTAAACAAAACGAAAAGATTTATGCACTTACTATTATTGACGAACTTACTAAATACTTAGCTGCGTATATATTAAAACAAAAATCAACTACAGAAGTAATAAAATCATTATTGTGTTATTGCCAACATTTAGGCATACCTCTTCGTTTTCATTCAGATTTAGGAGCTGAATTCGTATCTAAAGCCATGAAGAAAGTTTGTGAAATCATGGAGATTCAAAAATCAGAAGCGCTAACGCAATTTCCCCAGTCAAATGGAGGCATAGAAAGGGTACATGCTACAATAAAAGATTCTATGCGATGTTTAGTAGCAAACTCTAAAATACCTTGGGATTTAGCACTTAGCATAGCTGTAATGACTTATAATAATTCAAAACACTCATCAACAGGTTTTACACCTAGTGAGTTAATGTTTGGTGAAAGTAGAGACCATTTAAGAAGTATAACCACAGATAAAACTACCGATTTTTATTATAAAACATTATCAAGCAAGTTAAGCAAGTTACATAAGCAAGCAAAGGAAAGTAATATAAAAAGCAAAGAGCGAAGCTTAGCCAGAGTAAATAGCAAACGTAAGGGCCATACTTACAAAATAAAAGACCTCGTACTTTACAATGATAAGAAGAAAACAGGCACCAGGATTAAATGGACAGGTCCTTACGAAGTTATAAAAGTTTCATCTAGAACAATAAGTATTTGTATAAGTAGAAATAAGTTATTAACGGTATCTATCGATAACGTGAAACCTTATTTTCGTTGTTCTATTTCAGATGCACAACGGCCGTCTACATCGTCGGCGCCAACATAGAAAAAATAGGGAAAAATCCGGGGTTATTTATGAACCCTATAGGTGAAATTTATAATACGAATAGCGAATGGAAATTAATTACTTTTAGAGATTATAATAGCGTAGTTAAAGCGTATGATAAGTTAAAACCAATAATATTAGAATTATATAATATAGAGATAGCACAATATACTAAAAATCATACTGTTCATTTTAAACCTTTAATAAAGACATTAAGTTTAGACATAGAATCAAAGCTACATAATTTACCTAGTTATAATCAAGATAATAATAATAATAATAGAGTTAAGCGTGGTCTTATTAACCCTCTTGGGTCAGTATTAAAAACTTTGTTTGGAACAATGGATAACGAAGACCGAAAAAAATATTCTAACTTAATAAAACAAATACAAAATAACCAGATTAAAACGCAGTCTATAATTAAACAACAAATGCACGTAACTATGTCAATTATGGGATCTTTTAATAAAACTCTTCAAGATTTAATGTTAAATGATAAAATAATAAAATATAACATGCTTCTCATTAAAGTTTACATTCTGAAGAATGCTGTCAAAATCGCTGATTTAGAATTAAAACAAAAAGTTTTTGAACTTCATGAATACATTCTCGACAATTTGATTGTAATAAATAGCAAATTAGATGAACTTATGAACGCCATAGATTCCTCTTACTCCGGTATATTACCTTCTAATATATTAAGTAATATAAATTTGGTTCATGAATTAAATAAAAGTCCAAATGCTGGAAAATTCATAGAGAGACCTAGCATTAATAATGTTCATAGTATAATAAAAACTAGTAAATATAAAGCCTATTTAGAATATTTTATGTTTGTGTCTATCATGGAAATTCCTTTAGTCGACGAAGAACCTTTTCTTTCATATCAGATATTATCCCTTCCTGAAAAAGACCCCAATTCCTCTCTTTATCATACCCTTTTGGTGCGGAATAAGTATGTAGGGATTACTACAGACCGAAGATTCTACACGACGCTTGACGACCTCACCAACTGTGAAGCCTTCGGAGACGAGAAACTCATCTGTCGAGCACTCTTGATACATGATCAAAATGCCGAGCCTATTTGTGAAACTAGTATCCTGCAACAAAATAAAGAAAATTACAGGGAATACTGTAACATATTAACTACGAATGGACAATTTAAAACCATTCAATACCTAAAGAAAAACACCTGGCTTATATTATTCTCAGACTCTATTGACATTGTTGAAGATTGTCATAGAAATATTACAACCACGAAGTTCAAAGGAGCAGGGATCCTGACTGTACCAGCGCACTGCACTGCAACATTACAAGCAACAAAGCTTAAAGGCGAAAGCGAACTTGAAACTCACCTGCAGTTACCTGAAACAAAAATAGATATTATAGAAGAAATTTACAATCATCCGTTAATAAAAAAATTATCTGAAATAAAATTGAATCAAGTGAAATATAATCAAGTGAAATTAGATAACCTACACACAGAAATGCAACAAATGAAAAATATAAAACAAAAATTAGATAAGATGAAAGCCACACCTGGAAATTTTCAACAGACAGATACATTATTATTATATTTAGTAGCAATCATAATAATAAGCTATATTATATACAGAAGCTGTTGTCAAGAAAGGATGGCTCGAATCTCTGGACACTGTCATTCCTTAAGATGTCCTGGAAGACGGCGAAACACGGAAGACGTTGAACTGCAAGCTGTAAGCGGAAATGCATCCCGACGTCATCTGGAAGACCCAATCTACGCCTCAGTGGACCAACGAACACCTAGAAATAGACATACTGAAGACGAAGATTAGAAATTAGGCATATTTACATATTATTTTAATTTAGTTTTAAAGTAAATATATAATAATTAGATATTAATAACTTCCCTTGTCGTATATTGTAATAGTTTATTTTAAATTTAAATATTGTTTTATATCAAGTGTTTCTGTCAGTTATTCAGTTTGAAAAATACTCTTGTCTTTTTGAGTATAATTTTCAATCTAGGGCGGGGGGTGTTAAACCCTTGATATTTGAAGCTAGGATAGTTTCATAACTATTAACTATCAATATTCCCATTGTTGTTATTATCATTTAGTAACCTTTTGACATACTAAGTTCACTTATCAATTTGTTAACAAACAGGCATCTGTTTTCCTATGGGAAACAATAATATTATGATTACATATTTTAAAAAAGGCCATCTGTTCTAAAACCCATTTCGAGGTAAACTATCTTAATTACTCTTTTACTAATATTTACAACAGACACCCTTTGTGCTCCCGCGACGTCACCATATGCCTTTGTGCTCCCACGACGTCACCATATGCCTGATTGTACTGAATATAAATAGGACGCTGTAAAATTATTAGTTAGTTCTTACTCAACCACCAATACTTAGTTACCAGTTTATTATAATAAATACCTTTTTAAAAAAGTCTTCCCATCGTCTAAATTGTAACACGACTAGTCGATAAAAAAAAACTATTTTTATTTTTGTGCTTATCAATAATCGATTAATGAATTAATATTTCTATAATTCTACTGTAAAATTTGGTTTATTTCTTAGATTCAACTTATTTTAATTTTTTAATCATTTAACAAGTTCATAATTTTATTCAACTGTTCTTGCATCGATGTGTACGTAGATTGTGAAATAGTTTATGTGTATCTATGGTGTGGATGCGTAAGTTTGTACTATGTAAATTCATACTACGATTGAATGTCAAATAAATAAAATATTTCGAAATGGAAATAGTTTCATTAATTACTACGTCTGCATCACATTCTTTTACAAATTACGTTATTTGGTTCTTGCCAATTTTTCCATTTTTTCAATGCGTCTGCTTGATGTATCATTGCTTAATCCCAATTTGTTACTTATTTTTATCGGCATATGTGAAATAAAAAATACTAATTATTTAATGTAGTCATTTATTTTTTCAATGTATGTTAATGAATAATAATATCAGAAAAAAAAGAAACAAGTATGAAAAAAGTTTTTATTCGCCTAGAAGACATATAGCCAGTTGCTCAAACAACCATTAAAATATTCATTAATTTAAAGAGACATTACTCATACAACTTTGACATTTATTAGAGCTTAAAGGTGTCATTAAACCTTAATGGACGTTTGTGCAACTGACCGTTAGGCGCATCAAATTATTAACAATAAACTAATACATTACCCGTCTAATCTTTACGATAAACTAAATTAAACGGTCGAAGGCTGCCCCTCACGTACAACCAATGCCTTTAGCACGGGAAAATATAATATAAACGGAATTTAATGTCAAATTTTTGTTTAAAAAATCAGTTCCCTCTAAAGAGGCGCTGTGTATACTATACAAAAAATTGACACATATATTAGAATTGAATTCGGTTATCACTCGATTATAAATCGTGCTGAAAAAACTAACAGGTTTTTTAAACAGAAAGTTAAAGATTTACATAGAATAGTTAACAACACAAAACATATACAAACTATTTACTGAATTATTGGACCTGCCAGTCAAAACTAAACGGGCAGCCTATAACTAAAGATTCAATCATATACACTTTTCTCACTAACTCAGTTTGCCTTTTAAAATTTCAAATATTAATTCGTTATTCATAAACAGTACACATAAAACTTAGTTTTATTTTAGGACTCCGTGTTAACATTTGGTTTTCGAAAATGCACCATCACCAAAGTATATCGTTGTGAATGTATATTTTAGAAAAATGACAGTTTAAAAAGAATGTTCTAGTTAAGTTAGTGAAATTCCCAAAGCAGAATGCACAGATCGGTTTAAAGGCATCAAAACAATACTAGATCAGAATACTTAAATACATGACATTATACATAATGATATCTTACAACAATATTTCAGACAACACAACTTATAAACACTTCACTATGTATACATTATAATGATTCGACAATACCAATTTTTGTTTACATAGAGTGTAGGTCTAGTAACTACTTATAGTATTTGGACTATCGCTAAATTAATACATCGATATTTATTATCTTTAATATAAACTATTAAAGATTATAATAAATGATATACGGCATCACCGAGTACTTTTATCAGTCTTTATATACAGTATATTTTTTTAAAGATTATGGTAATAGTTGGTTCACAATAGTTACTCTTAAACTTTTTGATAGTGAGAAACATAATATTCCAAAATAAAACATTTCTACATTTCTATAAAAATATACTACTTATTCCAGATTGATTGATTCAACCAAAGAGCATTTTCTGAAACTACACAATTGCCATGAAAAAGAACATTACTAAGATTATTAAAAAGTTTTAATTTGGCGTAGTGTACAATTAGTAAGTGCCCTGTTATTTTGGAACAGTCTTAGCAACAAAGTATTTATTTACAACAACACAAACATACAATTCTTTTTACTCTTTGGAATAAATTCGTATTGTCAAACTGAATACCGATTTTCACAGCGAAATAGAGGGCGCCCTAAAAGTAATTGAAAAGTATAAATGCCTTTAAATTTCTACCAAATAATAATCACTAAACCTTAAATTACATAATTCGATAACTCTACTACTGGACACTGGATCTACAACAAACTATACTTGGTGTCAAATAACTTATCAAATAATAAGCGTATTCAAAAATATTATTTTTAATAAAAATGTTTTTTTTTTCACGGTTTTCTGAACGATTCACATTGATAAGAACGAAATTCGAATTAGACCAAATGACTACGATTAATGATTATCTACGAGATTTTTTTTTTAAATGAAATCACAGACATTCGCCATACTCTATGGCTAGTTTAAACTAAATATTTACACTAATAATTATGATATATCAGGTTACATTTTTTTCTTAAAATCTTCAACGACAACAGTTGGATTTATATCAATAACTTCACAGAGTTTTTTCAAGGTGAACGGCACCATGGTATTATAGAAAGACATGAGCGTAGTGACATTCTCATATCGGTCAGGCGAAAGGGGTTTCGTTCCGTAGAACGAGTATTCACCATCTACGTCTGTGACGTCATACGGCAGTCTAGTGGTAGACTTCTTCGCTACCGCCTGAGCGGGCAACTTAGTCGTAGACTTCCTGGCTACCCTCTTACGCTCGTCAGATTTCTTAGGCTCAGCGTCCTCATCGGAATCTATCGAGGCCGATACCGAGTATGGAACTATATTATAGATCAGCATCGAATTAGAATCGTGAGATGCATTGTGATGCGACTTTAAATCCTTGATGTACTTAAACCGTTTATCGCATCGGGAACAAGCGAGAACTTCCCTCGTGTCATGGAACAGTTTGAAGAACGCATAGTTGATAGACTGGTCGGGATGCGACGCATTGTGATGTTCGAGTAACGAAGAATAATCGAGCCGGAGTGCCATACAGACACAACACTTGACGACGACATCTCCTTTCTTGCCGATCTCCGGTTTAGTTCCGTCGTCGTGCGCATGCGTTGCCGCATCAGACTCGCGCAGTATTCTCTCGCATATCAAACACCACATTTTCCCGTCACTCTCCTCAGCAGGTTTGTTCAGTTTATTCTGTTTGGGAGTAGAATTCGGGGATGACAGTGGTCCCGTCGGCAGCGGCGTCTGCTTTACATACTCCGGTTTGATCACACACTCGTGGTTCGATTGTAGATGGAGCATGACTAGATTCTTCGTGCCGTTGAAATCGCAGAAAGTGCACGAGAACGGCTTCAAATCATAATGTCGGAGCAGATGTTCGCGAAGCACGTGATTGTACTTCGTCTTGAATGGGCAGGATGGACAGCTGCCGCCGGCGGCTTTTCTTTTCGGCTCGACGACTTCGGATGGTGACGGCGATTCGGCTGGTCTTTTGCGGGGCACAAGTTCGGAAGGTGTGACGGTTTCTTCGTAGCGAACGACGAGGAGGGAGTTGTCACTGTCTCGGGGTGGGGGCGGCGGGTTTGTGGTGGATTGTGGGGGGTTAGCGGGCAGACAGTTCATGGTGAGCCGTTGCACGCGGAGCACGGCTTGTATCCAGGCGGCCCTCATGGCGGGCTCGCGAACGGCCTCAACGGGGCGCGAGTTGCCAACTCCGTGTACGCTCTTACAGTGGAACTGTGCCTCGTGATAAGTCTGGAAGTTTTCCGCGCAGCTGCTGCAGCACCATCTTGAATGGAAACGATTCATATATAAATATGTATAAGGAAATCTCCAGTCCAGCAAAAGAAAAAGCTTAATTTACAGGTCATCGGTGTAAATGAAAACCACGTTCCTGCGCTACGGAGTAGTTATCTCATTATCAGTGGTCGGAATTAGGTAGAGTTATTCATGTACTTACACGGATTTCATACAGCGAAAGAATAAAGTGGATATGCCTCAAATCCCGAGATTAATTTTAAAGAGCAGAAAAAATCCCGTGATTTTTTTAAATAAAAAGTCATTTACTTTTACACAATTTAAACTACAGCACGCACGACGTTGCCAAACTTACACCAATGAAAGAAAGAAATAAAGAAAGAAGAAATAAAGAAATCCCGGGAAGGTCCACATTAATATCAACATTTCGATGCAAGTACATAAATAACTCTACCTAATTCCGACCTCTGCTCATTATACACGAAAATATGGCAGCAATTACAAGTTTTATGTGATTTTGTTTTTTTTAGAATTAAAATCTACAGCGCCGTTGATATATGCATCAAACAGCAATTTAAATAAGTAAACATTATTAGAAGTTGTTGTTTTTTTACATATAACATTTTTTTCCTTGTATAATCAAAATTATAAAATTTGTTTCAAAACAAATTGTTGGAATTGTTTATTTTTTTGAATAAGGTGCGCGTGTCTCAAGCGTGTACGGCAAATCTGGGCTTATTGATGGTTTTGATATTGATCTAGCCTAGTCTAATCCAACGAAGTTGCTTGTGTTTTACAAGTACTCTGTCGAGTTATATTATATTCCTCATACTGCCCACACATCACACATATCTTTATGTGTAGCCAATAAGCAAATATAAATGACTTTAATCTATATATATATATGTTATGCTCAAGGACCGAAATCGCTCATTGAGCGAGAAACAGTTCACACAGTATTCACAGAATACATACACAATGCGTTGTGAACAATTTTTTCATTAAATGAGCGATTTCGATATTTGAGCGTAACATATATAAAAATGAATCGCTGAAATGTATGTAAGCGCATGACTACCAAAAGGTTTATATATAAGAATATTTATATAAAAAATCCTCAGTCGCAAATGGAGAAATAAAATATGGCGGTAAGAAATTTGACGGGTCAACTAGTAAAAGTATAATAATGTACGTAAGGACCTAAGGTAAGGACGAAGTCTAGATCAAAGCAACATTTAAGAGGGCACATCCTTACAGAATCACTACTGGTACTAAGAAATTACGTCCAAATAAGCTGTAAACTGCTCGATAATTTTTTTTATCTCGATGAAAATAATAACAAAGTTACCCATTAAGTACACCGCTTTTTGCATTTATTATTGTAATTAAACCCTTTTTATATGGAAAAACAGGGTGTAACACTTTAGTTTGAGATTTATCAATTAAAATAGTTAATAGCCTTATGCATATGGTACAGCATTAAAGCTCATAATAATTTAAAAACTCACCTGATTTTAGTCAGCTCGCCTTCTAAGTGATCTCGCATGGAAGATTCCTCTTTAACTTCAAAATCGCACTTTGGACAACAAAAGAACATGTTACTGGGCACTCCCAACTTGCCAAATGCCTGTTCCAAATCCTTCATGCTATATTTATCTGACACTTTATCTGACACACTAGTAGTTTTAGCTGTGGAAGTGGATGGAGCAGGTCTTTCTGTTAAAATCTTTTGCTTGGACAAATTGTCTTTGTTTTTCTCAATAGATTTCGTTTGGTATTGCAATATATGTGTGACCCATTTTTCTATGTTGACGTCCAAGGGTAACTGTGTTGGTTCCTGGCTATCAAAACCTCTATGCTCTTGGACTATATGATCGCTTAAACCATTCCTGTGAAATGCTTTGTATGAGCATACCGTGCACGCCCATCTAGAATAACAAAAAAATGAATTAAGTGTCTGTCTTTTATATTTTATAAATGCATTAATAATGCGGATATTGATATTATTTTTATACGTTAAAGCTTTTATATATAAGAAAAATAATAACTAATTAGTCAACTTTTAAAATAATTTCTTAGTACGTGGTCCCAAAACATGAATTTTAGTGATCATTTATTAATCATTTAAGATATACTAAAATAATAATAACTTTACAGAGAAAAAATACTTAAAATCCTATTACGGGCAGTTAAGACTTTCGAATCTTTATATAAAAATTTAGCATATATAGATATAGCATAATGAATGCAAAATCTATCGAATAAGTTACGGTGTTCTAAAAAACTAACTAGCATATATTTTAATAACAGTCCCACTCACAGATGTTTATGGACGATATAATAAAAATTTGAAGGTGTTTTCGACCACTAAGATCGAAAACAGTGGGCGTTTACATAGTACCTTGTAATAAATAATACTATACAGTACCTTAAATAATTAATACTAACCTCCTATATTTCAGTTCTTCGTATAGATGCGATTGTATTGCTTCCTTAGTATCTTCTGTAACCACTTTACACAGCGGACATTTGTACCTAAGTCCATTAGGTTCACACGTCTGGCCATACTTATTCAAGAGCTGTTCTATCGTCATCTCAGCAGAGTCTTCTACTTCTTTCTTAACAATATTAAGGTCCAAAATAGGTGGCTGGATTGGTTTCGCCGACATCGATAGTAACTGACTCAAATAAGTATTCGAATCTGCCACCTCGCTCTTCACTTCAGGATCTGTCGGTGCGAACTTCTGCCGCTGCTTCACCCATCGAGGAGTACCATCTACTTCATCGGGAATAGAACCCTCCCGGTAATAGAAGTAGAATATTTCAGGGTTCTTCTTAGGATGGATGTTCGCTTGATGTTTCGTCACGTTTTCTACGGTCGAAGTACGGAACGGACAGTAGTAGCATTTAAATTGCATCTTGGTTTGATGGGATTTCGAGCAGTGTTCTACCACTTCGGGACGGAGCATACTCTTGAAGTTGCAGATGCCGCATTGCCAGGGCTTTAAGTCCATAGTGGGCGCAGCAACTTGCCCAGCGTTGGGTGGAGGAATCACTTCCTCACGGACGACCATCAGTCTCCCGACGCCTTTGTGGACTTCCGACAAATGCTTATCTAGCACTTGCTTCTTATAGTGATAGTAAGCGCAAGATGAACACGCATACAATGTAGCGTCGTGCATTTTCAAATGAGCGATGATCCTAGCTGCAGTCAGAGGTTTTGAAGTGTCGAGATGTTGGTACGGCGGACAATGAACACAATGGAAGTCGTTCGAGCCTGAATGCAGAGTCTCCCAATGGCACCGCAGCATCGCTTCGTCCACGGATATGTAGGAACATCCCTTCGCCCCGCACGTGTGCCGTTGCCTATCCGGAACGTATCTAGGATACCGCGAGGCGGCCTCGGGCGGGATCAACACGGAGACTGTCGTGTTTCCTTCGGGCCGAGACTGCTTCTCCGGCGCTCTATTCACGATGGAACTGGAAGCGAGATTCACCATCTTGTCGAAGTGTTTCTCGTTAGTTTCCAGGTGAGGGACGGGATTGATGGGCGCTGTCTGCGGCACCGGCTGCTGCTCCGCGTGCAGCTGGAGATGTCGCACCATGTTGAGACGCACTTTAGTTTTAAACTCGCACAGGGAGCACGATACGGACTCGTCCAGGATCGGGTTTATAGGTAGGAGGTCGACGTCGCGCGGGCCGAATCTCTTCAGTTTAGATGGCGGTTCGGTGGCGCCACTCGAAGATCGCTTCCTCTTCTGAACACCGCCAGGTTTCGCGTTGACCGGGCCGACGACCCATTCGACCTCTTTTTCTGCGTTCTCAACCTTCCAAACCATTGTTTTTGTTATCCCGTGGACGTATTTCAAGTGAGTCTTCGCGAGAGCGACGGTAGGGAATCTTGCATTGCACAGGTCGCACACATTTAAGCACTTGTCCTTCATATGATCTTTGACGTAATGTTTGACGAGGGCATCCCTGTTCGTTACAGGTATTTCACAATGCGCGCACGTCCAAGATCCGGTGGGAACGCACGTATTGGTGTGCCTCTTGAACCCTGCCACTGATTTGTAAGTTAAAAGACACACCGGACACGTTAGTAAGATAGACCAGGGTATTATTTTATATTTGGACTCATCTTTGCTTTTTTTGTTCGGTGAATCGGCAGCGCTCGTTTCATCGTCCGACAGCGCTATGATGCTGAGTCGGGAATCTCTCGAATCTCGAGAGTTTTCGTCGTCACTGTCCAGACATACTACCACATCAGTAGGCAAAGTTTTTTTGGGAGTTTGTTCAGGAGGCTCTGACTTAATTTTGCGTGTGACTTGTTCGGACATCTCTCTAGTTGTTACTGGTGTGGCCGGTCTTTGGGGTGTTGACACAGATACAGGATCTATAACTGCGGCTGCGGCTTGTTGCGCGACATCTGCGAGGTTATCTTCTATGATGCTTGTAACAGCTGATTCAGTTTCTGTCGGAGGTTGAGGTGCGGCTTCGTTCGGCTTAGATGCCACGGAATTTATAAGCATATTTGTATGGCCTATGAGTTTCTCTAGATCTATTGATCTCTCGGCTTCCCTCACAGGATTCTCGTGCATGTTCGCCGGCACGATATCGACGGCCACTTTGGATTTATTGAACGACACCAATGGAAGTACCCTCAACTGTGAAGATCCGTCCTAAAATGAGAAATGTCATACACTAAAGACATGTAATTTTTTTTTATTGCTATAATTTAGGTGTTGTAAGAAAATTAAATAAATGGTTGATATTAGCGATGTTGATTCTTTAGGATATCAATGCCAATATTAGTGAGTTAGCCCTGTTACATATATGCATGAACTATGGGTTTTCAAATGAATATAATGAAGTAGTAAAATATGTGCTTAAGTTATAATATTTTTTCAAGTCATTGCTTCTACTCAAATATATTTTGAAAAATTTCTTCCTAAGGGGGCTAAATAGAGGTCTGACATCTTGTATTAACACGAGCAACCAAGTCGTCACTGTCCATTTATTAAAAGTGAGAAAGTTCAAAAAATCTCAATTTTTATATTTTTATTCTAGTAAATATCCTTGACATTTTATCCCTTGACACATCCGTTGTGTCTAGGGAGTAAATGTATAAGTTGCATAAAATCATTCAGTGGCTCCATCTCATTGGTGAAACCCATATATTTAGGGCGACTTCTAAGTTTAGTGAAAACGGTCATGAAAATCGTGTAATAGCGTTTCATCGAACGCTAGTAATCAATGAATAGCAAATAGTTACTTTGTTTGTGATGACCCTAAGGTAAGCCTGCGGTTGTTTGTGAGGGTGTTTCTGTGAGGAGTGGTAGAGCAGCGCGGTTTCGGTGTCGGCTCCGTGCAGGCACCAGGTGCACTGGTACACGTTCAGCTCGTGACACTTCATGTGCTGGATCAACTGTTGGGGCGTCAGCTGCTTCTCCTTGCAGATCTGAAGAATACCAAGACGCTCAACTATTGAATAACTTTAATAAAGTTTATGACATTTTTAATATGATCAATAAACAATGTTTAAAAATGCACTTTGTCCCTGGTACCCAGAAATAGGATTTTTCATTAAGAATATTTTAAGGTATAGCATTGTGAACGCAAAATTGATCAAATGTAATTAAATCTTTAGATGATGTTTGAAACGAACAAAATCTGTTTTAAGAAAAGTATACCCAAATTAAAATTTGACATTCAAAGATTAGCTTAGAGAATTGGCAACAGAATTAGCACCCTTTGACCTGTTCTCCACGTGATTCAACCCACAGTGAATAGGCATGCAAAAACCGGTTATTATCAGGTTTCTGTATTCAAAGAGCCAATTAACCGGGTATTTCGGTTATTCTTTTTTATTTGTGATCAAAACCTAAAATAAAAGGATTTATGAGTGAATTGCGTAGGTTAATAAGAAAATTCGGCATATTTAAATAAAATCGGTTTATATTTGTAATATAAAAAAGCATTATTCCATCGACATTTCGTTTTAGAATCGACTAATTTAAACTGTAACTTTCAACGGCAATATTTCCTTACTCTGAAATTGTCAGAAACTTTGGGATTGTGTATGATAAACTATTATCTTTGATACCTTAAGGTTTCGAATATATTATTTAAACGTTATAAAACTTTTCTTAACAATTTTTACATAATTTAATGCCAATAGGTAATGGTCACAGTAAGTTTTGTAACTAGGAAATTCATTTATGACGTTCATTGGACAATAAGAAATAACTTACGAAACTAACATTTCTTAAAAAGAAAATAATTATATGGTTTAACTGTTCGTCATATCAAATCAGTATAAATAAAGCAATAACTATATATTAACACTTCTTGGACTTCTTGACTTGATAAAATAACTAGTTAAGACAAAGAAAATTAAATATTATTCTATCAATTACATTGTGCGTAATATATTTCTGTTGCAAAATAAGTCACAAGTAGTTAGTTAATACATGAAATTACAAAAAAAATGTTCACTGTTTATTGTTTACTTGTTTATTAAAAAAAAAAACAAAGAACCGGTTTTCCTTTAGTAAAATACCCTGTAGTTAGTTAATACAAAAAAGTTTTTACTTGTTTTTTACTCTGTATTTTATTATAAAGAAACATTAATATATTTATAATACGTACATAGCATGGATGAGACAGCTCGGCCGCATGCTGTTGAATTAAATGCTCGCAAAACCTGCCAGCTGTATATGCCCGGAACTTGCAAACTGGAAGATAAAATTGTTAATTCAGATTTCATTTAACAGATGATCGTGAAAATATAATAGCCTTTGTCTATAAGCAAATGTTTTGATTGAACAAGGATCTTAGATTCATAACAAAGTCGTTAAATTAAAAAATGCGAAGAATAATTGAAGGTACGAAGGTACTATATTTAAATAACTCTGAGAGTATACAAAATAAGTTTCCGAAAAACCAATTGGGTTTCGAGTTCTGTACGCTTTCAGATATAAAAGCGCACTAAAATAGGCAGAATGACCATAACACTGGCTAACTTTGACTGATAAAGTGGAAGAAGAATAAAAAAATCTAATTCTCTTTGGTAATACTTAAATGAGCCATTGGTCCCGGCTGCATTTTCAGTCGTTAATACCCTCCAATCCGCATTGGGCCAGCGTGGAGGGTCATGGCCCATCCTCCTTAACCATCCATAAGGAAGGCCTGAGCCCCTGCAGTGGGGACGTAAAAGGGCTGGTGATGATACTTAAATGATCCCATCTTAATCGACTTTGAAATCAAAACTTCCATATCTACGATATCTATGTTCAACTGGCATCTACATTATTCTAAGGTCAAAGATTTCTCTGCGAATTATAGTTGTCATATACATATGAAGACATTAACACACCTCTTACAATAAATTATCATTTAAAAAAATTGGACTGATGGATTGATTCCAAATATTCTTAATATCTAATATTTTTCTTCATGCATATACGTAACACAATATTAAAAAAGGTAATAAATTAAAAAGAGACTAGTTTATAGGTTTACAATTTGATAAGTAGTATATCAAAATTCGATGACTAAGATTGATGGTACCTACCGTGTGCACAAACGTAGTAAAGGACGACGACTTCGCGCGACAGCATTGAGGAATCTTTTATTTGAGGCGGTTGCACATTCGCCAATGACAAGATCTTCGGCGGCGCATCTTTATGGATGCGGCTGATGTGTGCCATCACTAGTTGGCTTGCCGTTGCTCGATAGAAACAATACCCACAAGCGTACGGGCATGTTCCATGTGCTTTGAACACATGCATCACCAAATCTATAGCATTCCCAGAACAATCAAAATCACAGTACGAGCATATCAATGAGTTTTCCCCTCCAACGCGCTGGTGGGTAGATGCATGAAGTAATGCCTGTTCCGGAGAATCAGAGGAGAAGGAACAGTAGCTGCCTGCACATTTGAACACGTTCACTAGTTTAAGCGAACTCATCATTGTGTCTAAGACGACTCTGTGCTTTTTTGACATCACCTCTGCTTGGACCTCTTCATATTTATACTGTTTATCATCGTCTTTAGGAGGTTCAGTCAACACAGAAGGATAGCTCGGGCTCGCTTGAGACGGCTCAGCTGTTTGGGCGCCAAGACTCATGACATTCTCGATTTTAGGCAGAGTCGGAAGTTCTTCGGTAGGAGGCAGTGGTAAAAGTGTAGATGGCATACAGATTTCTTTCGACATCAACTCCGACATAGGACGCACGTTTATATATGATTTGTTAGAAGATGACTGAACTTCAGATGGAGAAGAGTCCTGTATTTCTTCAGTTTGAGCGGCATTTTTTTCTAAAACTGGGAAATTATCCATGTGCTTATCGAGATAATGTTGAAAACAATCCTTGAACGTGTGCTTACCTTGCGGTGTCACAATCACTTTACATATAAAGCAATACCCGTCCCATATTTCAGCATGTTTAACCTGCACGTGTTTTTTCATGGATATCAAAAGAGTTGTTTTGTAATGATTATCAATTCCATTAATGCAACAAACGTATTCCTTTAAACCACTGTCTGTATAAGTTATCTTAAAATGGGCACAATCATCGATATCTTCTGGAACACTATTTTCAGCGACTTCATTTTCATTAGATACCATGTCAACTCCGCATATTTCCGATATCAAATTGTTTTTAAATCCCTCGATCTCTTTGTTATTGCCGATCTCTTCATCTATAGTTTCCTTTTTGACAACAGTTTTAAGCATATTGGATGAAGGACTGGCTTCAATCGCATTGTCATCACTTTCAAATGTTATCTTTGACTGCATATTGACCTTTTCATGTTGTTCAACAGTAGGAGGTTTTGAATTTTTATTTGTTGACAGAAGTTCGGACGACTGATCACTGTCTGTCACATCATCGCTATGATCATCGCTAGTTTCTGTCACACTTTGATTCGACCTACTACTTCTAAGTACTCGTGGTTTCTCTGGTTCGGTGTTGCTGCATTTCACAAGTGCCTTAATTGCTTTTTTCGACATTACGGCTAAGTTGATAGTATAAACTTCTGTTTGTTCATCATTGTGACGAACAATAACATGAGTTTTCAAATTCTCTAACGATATTTGGGTAAAGTTACATTTTTCACAAATATAACCTATAAGTTGTCCTTTTACCTCTTTTGGAGGTGGCGGTATGTCCAAGTTGAAAGGACACTTTGCATCGTTGTCACATAATGTACAGGAGTGTTTATATTCACCCGTGTGCATGCTTACAATATGCCAGAAAAAAGCTTCCAGTGCAGCCTTTTTTCTGGTAAATTCCTTGAAGCAAAACCTACATACATATTTATCGGTAGGTATCTTGCTTATAGATTGAAAATTTACTTCTTCGCATTGTTCAATTGCTTCTTTTGCCATTTCAGGGCTAAGGCGGGAAAGTGGTATTTCAGAGTGAGGGTGTTGTTGTTTATAATGGTTCACAATGTTTTCTCCACTATAAACACAAAGGCGACAAGAGTAGATAAAAATGTTCTTAAAAAAACAATAGGATTTATCAGTAAAACAATTGTTATCCGGAATATTTTGAGTTTTTTCTGGTACTAATACATCTTCGTTTAAGAAAATCTCTGCTTTTTGATTGGATTCAAATTTCTTTTTCCTGTTTTTCGGCTTTATAACGCCAGACTGCCAGGCCGATCGTTTACGCTTTGGTTTCTTTTTTACTTCTACCAACAAATCTGTACTTCCGAAACTTTGAGATGAAGATATTGAATCACTTTCTGAATCCGAATTATGTGGTTCTTTGCCATCGGCAGACTTTATAGAATAATTATTTTCACTAACAGAATCGGATTCAAATGCGTAGGGATCGTCATCTTCCGATTTTTGGATATGTTTCGTTTTTGATTTTGGGCCTGGTTTATATTTAAATGATTTAACTTTGTTGTTTTTATTTTCATGTATTTCTTCAGTTTTTGGTTTCCGTTTAGGGCCTGGTTTCTTTCTATTTTTTGCTAAAGATTTAACTTCATCAACTGTTTCTAAATCTTTAAATTTCTCTAAAACTACTACCGGACCAGATTCATTGGTGGTTAGATCTTCTTTTTGTTTAGAGGTATTATCATTAACAAGTTTCGCTAAACGACACATTCTAATACCAGTTGCATTTAAAACGTCATCACTTATGAACATCTCTTTTAAATCCTCTTGTAATTTTAGTAATTCTCTAGATGTTTTTTTCACGTTTATATTGGCGGATCGAGTGATCCTTTTAGGCCTTTTCAAAACAGTATTTTTAGCAGCTTTACCTTTTCCTTTTTTACTTAAAGCGCCTTTCTTGGCTGGCAGTTTTTTAGACGGTTGTATTTTCTCATTATTTGTTGTATTTCTTTCGTTGATAACATTTTCTGTAGTAGATTCTGAAATATTGTTTTCCAATATATTTGTTTCGTTTTCATTTGATTGTTTGAGATTAACATCATCGGTCGATTTCAAATCAACGTTTACTGATAATTCATTGCTATCGTTCATACTGTCAATATCAACCTTTGACGTTTCTTCTGTAATAGAATCTTTTGGATCATTGGATTGATTTAACGATTTCACGCTAACATCAGGTGTGGATTTTTCGTTTGGGTTATTTTCCACTTCATCATCTTCGTCCAATACAATTTCACTGAGTTTCTCAAGTTTCTTCTTTATTTTTTCATTTTCACTCGATTGGTCACCTAACAAATTCAATATCTCCTTGAGTTTCGATTTATTCTGTAAGATTGACAAAATATTACCAATAGAATTCATCGATGATACTTCTTTGGTAACTGAACTGGGTCCTACATTCTCTATACTGCTTATTTCTAACGTATCATGTGATGATGTGACCAAAGAGTTGAGATCAATTTGTGACTCATTAGTACTATCAGGCAAACTATCTCCTGAATCTAGTTTCTGTGAATTAGCCTCGTTGGTACTGTCTGGCACAGAATTTGCTTCTGAAATCGTCATTTTGGATTCTTCCACATTTTCTACAATTGTTTCTTTGTTTATTTCAGTTGTAGAGACTGTATCGTCTTTTACTGGTTGTTCACACTGCAATGAATGCTTCCCAATGTCGCCTGATTCAAAGGCTTGTGAAGCTAATCTTTCAGACTTTGTTACATTCAATGTATGACCAACAAAATTTTGTTTATCCGTACTTACACTCGTGAAAGTGACAACTTTTTTGGATTCCACAGATTGGTGCAAGTCGTTGTTTATAACTTCTGATATATCATTAAGATTTTCCGTTAAAGTTTTTGCATTTTTTTCTTTATCAGAATCAAAAGTATCCAACATATTTTCTAGAGTAATATCACTGCTGAATTCTGTGGTTGCAATTTTAGAAGAATCTAAATCATTATCAAGATCAGCAATAATAGCGTTTATGTTATCGATTACTGGATCAGAAGCTAAATTATCAGAAAAAATTTCCAAATCATCTATAGCAAAATTTGATTCCAAATTATCAGTTAGTATTTCATTAGACGTTCCTTCATTATTTGGAATTTCTATGCTTCCAGATACACTGTTCTTAGAAGTACGAGTATCGGTCATAGTTTCGTTAGCTTGACTTGTTTCAACAGTAGACAGTTTCGAAGGTTTGTTGTGTTTACAGACCTTTGCGATTGACTCAACTTTATCTTCTTCCGAATCCGAATCGAATAAAACAGGCCGTTTTGATTTTTTAGTCTTAGACACAATATCTTTTTCTGTAGAAAGTGAACTTTCACTTTTTTTAGTTAATCGGGTAATACGCTTTTCAAGTTTTTCCTCGTTACCTTCATTTGATTTAACTGGGTTGGCTATAACTTTTTCTGAATCCTGTTTCGTTTCTATTTTTTCAAGAGTAAGAGTTTTATTTCTATTATTATTTTTTTTATTAAAATCATCTTTTTCTGTTACTTTATCGCCATTGCGATTGATTTCCTTTAATTCTTTCTTGTCATTTTTCTTTGCTTCTATTTTTTTTTCTTCTTTCTTAACATCTTTCTTCACTTCTGCTTCTTTTTCATCACTTTTCTTTTTATCTTCTTTCACTTCTTCAACCGCCCTTTTAATTTTCGGTATTTTATAATTTTTAACACCAAGTCCTGGACCCAAAATAGTACCCTTTTTAATATTATCATTGGAATATACAATTCCAATTTGTCTCTTTCCTCGTTCTTCATTATTCACATATTTATTTTTAGAATTGGGTAAGTTACGACGCATTCTTGGATCTCTTTGATTTTTTCTAGGCGAATATGGCTTTTTGCTACGACATTCTTTATTTGCATTTTCATAGATATTCTTATTTTTAATAATAGATTGATTTTTAAGTTCGCTTGAAGCATTATCTTTGTCATATTTTCTTGAATCTTTTGAGTCAAAATATTTATCACCCTTAATATTTTCTCTGTAAAATTTCTCAAAATCTGCCCTTAAGTCTTTAAAGGTCTTTTCTTTTTCAGAACTGAGAATGTCTCTTCCTACACTACGTGCACGCCTGAAATTATTACTTTTTAAACACTCATCATTATTATGTTTGGAGTCATCTGTATTAAATAGTGATCTACCTACATTAGATTCATGGTGCAGTGTTCTTCCCACACTAGAAGCACGTTTTCGTCTTTCAAAAGAGTCGGACATCTGTGATTTGTCATCTCGAAGAAAATCTTGGAATGTCGAGCGGACACTAGTGTTTATAGTAAATGAACTTCCTGTATCTGGCTTAACAGATGTTCGAGTATCATTGACATGTACGGTTCGACCAACACTCGAAGCTCTAGATGATGCATGATGCATTCGTCTATCAATCGACATAGAACGTCCTGCACTCTGTTCACGAATAAATCCTTTTCTCATAGGATCATTATCAACCTTATGATGATATTCGTTTCTTGAAATGTCACCGTTACGATCTACCGTAGATAATCGATCGTCGTAGTCACGAGACGTCGCACATCCGATGCTAGACTCTCTCTTGTATGCTTGATCTCTGTTAAAATGACGTGAATCATTTTCTGAATAATTATTTCTTTCATTTCTACTAAGACTGTGTTCTCTGTAGTTTCGATAAGAGTCTGGTTGATGCGGTTCCGACCTATGCGGATTATGATAATGTAACCTATTCCGATCTCTCCGGTAGTTACGATCAGCGTCGTCTTTTTGAAAATTATCGTATTCAGACGTTCTGTTTAATCTAGGGTCTCTAGAGTGAGATTCGGATCTTCCAAATGGATGACTAGGTGTTGTGGGTACATCCATACGTCCAAATGGATGACTAGGTGTTGTGGGTACATCCATTCGTCCAAATGGATGACTAGGTGTCATCGGACACTCGTTCCATGTAAGGTCAGTACGACCGAAAGAATGGCTAGGTGTTGATGGACATTCTGAACGGCCAAAGGGATGACTCGGAGTCGAGGGGCAGTCAGTTCTTCCAAAAGAAGGTACAGGCGTCATAGGTGCATCTAATCTACCAAATGGATGGTTTGGTGTAGAAGGAGCCTCTGGTCGCCCAAACGAGGGAAGTGGAGTTCGTGGGCAATCTGTTTTACTATAAGAATCTCTTCTATCATTGAATCTTGAATTATAATTATCATACTTGTTGAATGATTCGCCATATCGTGATTTTGAATAATCAGAAGTTTCTCTATGGACAGAACTAGATCTAGGATCACGTTTAGGATTACGATCTCGATTGTCTACACTATCTCCCCATCTAGATTGTTGATCCCAAAGAGGCCTACGCTCTTGTTCCTTAGCCACCGATTGTTCTCTACTTTCACGATGGTCGTAAAATGGAAATGTTGGGGCATAAACATGCTTAGTAACGGTATTATCATCAACTTCAAATTTTTGGCGGTTACCAATATCAAATGATCGCGCATTTGGTGTCATATTTATATTTCTGTTAGGCGTCATATTAGGTGTCATGTTTGAAACCCGACTAGGAGTCATATTTGGGTTCATATTTGGAGTCATCAATAGAGTTCTGTTCTGTGTTTTATTTGAAGTCACATTGGGTATCATATTAGGGTAGTTAACAACAGGCGGTACTGGCTGTGATATTTTCTCCGTATCTAACGTAATAGAATGAACGAGATGGTCTTTATCAGACGCCTGACTTAGGTCTCTCCTGACTCGTGGATCCACTGGCGCTTTTGTCTTTTCAACATTGTTTTTAATTAAATCTTGATTTGTCTCAATAGTTGAACAGACCATTACATTTGGCATTAACGTCCTCATATCAACGTCAGACTTTGAAGGAGCTAACGCTGTTTTAACAGGATCAACGGGTATAATGACAGGAGGCACACTTTTCACGCACTCCAATGAATCAATATGATCTGGTGATTTTGGAGCAAGATTTCCATAAGTATCATTCAAAGGTATGTCTTTGGTGGTATCTTCATCGGAAATTAAATCATTTTCCATGTCATCGTCGTCGTCGTCAAAAGCTAATTTAGTGGGAAAATTGAATCGCTCACATTCTTTTTCAGTTAACTTAAGACTTTGTTTCTTTGCGCTATCTTCTTTAGATGACGTACTATCATCCATTAAAGATAAAACAGGGTCATTAACAAATAACGGATTAGGTGTAGCCGTCGAAGGAATAGACTTTTTCTTATATTTTTCAATAGATATTCTTTTTTTTGGCACAATTTCTTGAACACTTGCTACTTTTGTTAGCTTTGGTTGATGCATTAAAGGGGTACTTTCCGACCCGGGTATGGATAAAGATTCGCTCAAAATTTCATTTTTGAGTGCTTGTAAAATATCTATTTCTGATACTACATCTTCTTTTGGCTTCTGTGTAGCAACACTTTGATCGTGCAGTAATGGAATTTCAACATTATTTTTCTCCTTTTCTATATCTTTTAAATTAACTGCTAACGCTGGAAGATTGTCAGTAGAAGACGGTGATATGGTATTTTCCTTTATTTCTATTGAAGTGGATGACGTTACAGGATTTGAATCACATGTCTCTTCGACTAAAGGTTTGTAAAAGTTTGCGACTTGATTTGTAGTTTCAGCACTAGCATTAGCGATCTTTTCCGAATCACCAAATTTTATTGCAACACTTTCAGAAACCCCGTCTTTAGCTAGAGATAGACATGGTTGTACTTTTAAGTCATCGTCTCCTTTTTCGTCTACCTTTGAAGATTCCTTCTGGTTAACATTATGTACATTAGATTTTTCCGAACTTTTTGAACATTCTTGAACATTTTCTAAAGATTTTTTATCAAACATCTCAAAATCATTATCTGTATCTCCTGAAACAGCATTTTGTATTTCACAAGTAGCATTATCTTTATCTTGATTTATTACAAGGCAAATTTGAATTTTCTTGGGTTTTTCTAGTGTTTTAGAATTTTTATCTTTAGATGCATTGTCGTTATCATCAAGAATGAAGTTACCATATATACTTTGAATAGCTTCACTTTCGCTATCAGATAATTCACCTTCTTCAACGTCGTCTTTCTTCTTAAAATCGGAACCAGTCTTTTCATATGATTTCAATAATAAATCTGATATATCATCATATTTTGCTCCCGTTTGTTTCAATTCATTAAGAATTTGTCTTTTAGCTTCTCTTAAAGTTTTGATATCAACATCATTATCACTACAATTCATGATCCTCTTCAATATATCCTTACTGTTTAAAGAATTAAGACTTTCTTCTGGGACACTCAATGTTATATTCAAATCCTTAGATTTCTTTCCTTGACTTTGTTTGGAAGACTTTTTTCGCTCTTTCTTATTATAGGTAGGTGAGCATCTCTTAGGCGACCGTCGTGGTGATCTACGGCTGAAAAGTTTCTCTGAGGTTTTGTTATCATCGTCCCAACGTCTTTCGCTAGGTTCTGGTGAAAGCAATACTCGAGTGTAGTTTCTTTTAGATGTCGTTGAATTGGCTGTTTTAATTGGGCTTTTTTGTGTAATCCGTGCCGGTGATTTTGAAGTTTTATTTGGCCTTCTTTGAAAAAGGGCAGGCTCTTTGCTACCGGGTGTACAAGTTTCTTCTATAATACTAGCTCGAGCAATTTCTGGCAATGTTTCCTCACCCTCTTCTATTGTCGTTCTAACAACAGATTTTAATTTATTCCTTACAGCTTCTAAATCACTACTATCTTTTGATTTGGAATTTTGTGAAGTTTCAGACTTTGGACTCAATTGTGTATCTCTCTGCAAAAAAATATTAATATTACTTACAAATTATAACGTTGAAAAAATAATCTAAGTACTTCATCTAACCTGCTCTACTTTTGCGTATAGGTTCACCAAAACCTGTTCGCATTTGAGCAAATTCTCCATTTTCATTCTGTAACAAAAATTATGAATTTATACAAAAATATGTGCAAAATTAACAAAATTCCAAATTCAAAATTTTATAACACATGCAATGTTCATGAGATTGAAAAAATATAGCAAAAATAGAAACGCATAATATTTGTGGTTTCAAAACAACTAACGATTTATATTTAACTGCATATTAAGCGAAATAAGAACAAAACTAAAAATAATAAAAGCCCGTTTCAGCTTTTTACTTACCTTTTCTTTTTATCCAACAAGAGATCTCTCAAAGATCTAATTTTGTCCAGTTGAGCTTGCCGAGGATTCGCCGAAGTCATGCTCGTACTTTCCAATCTTTTGATCATGTTCTCCAAAAATGGAATGTACTTCTTCATCTCCTCGAATTTCCGATCGTACTTCAAATCCATTTTGACAGCTAAAAATAAAATCTCTAAATTTAATCAAATATTATACATGCTATCTTAAAAATATGTGTTTTTTGTTACCATACAAAATGCATTTACATGTACAAATTAAGATCATTTGAATCTTTTCCTGTTTTATCCATGGCGGTGGAACTCAGATACAAGTAAACTAGAGCAGTAATACTCAATTTTTAAATAGTAACATTATTATATAAAAAAAAATTATATATGCAAAAATTTTCTTTTACACATAGTTTCTCACATATTAGAATTTACCGAATAGTAGCTATACCTGAATAGCAATAATAATATTAAAAATGCTAGATTAAAAAATGACTAAAAAACTAAAACAAATTACAGTTTGGTTGTAGACTATGTATATGCGAACGCATCTACGCACTATATAATTTGTTCATTGAAGTATAATTTCTTTTACAAATGGTTAAGTGGATTATCTAGCTATCTTTATCTTCACGCTGTATGTCTTGCGGGGTGAATTAGATAAATTATATTAAAGGTACTGTATACCGCGCATAATATCTGTAAATTAATATTAATTATTGATTAGTGGCTTTTGGCAAACAATTATTGTGAAATATTCAGCGTTAACTGTTCTTGGAGCCTCGATGATGACTGCATATATCCATTGTAGCCACAGAAACGACAAATTAGACAATAAAGCATACATTATTATAACTAATATGCACTTATTGATATGGTAAGAGATGTGCTTAGAATATAAATATAAATAATAAAATAAAAATGTTCTTTATTAACATTATTTCCATCATTTACAATCTTGAAATTATCCCAGTAAGTAATATAAAATACTTGTATTGGGACCATTTCGCTCCAGCTTTGTGGCAAGCACATATTTTAATGTTAACAAGAACCAAAATTAATGAATGAATGAGTTCGTGGGTGAGTATTGTGTTGTGAATGTGTGTATTGTGTGTTGTGAGTGTGTGTATTGTGTGTTGTGAGTGTGTGTATTGTGTTATGTGTTGTGAGTGTGTGTATTGTGTTATGTGTTGTGCCTGTGGGTGTGTGCTGTTATCTACATATATATTATATATTTGTATTTGTATGTATATGTATATGTCGCAGCCAAGCGGCACAATTAGCAACTTAGTCAGTCGGCCAACCACGCCACTCGATGTCGATGAATATATCGCATCATTTTTCTAAGAAATAATGCATAGTACGTCTATTAAAATAATCTGTACTTTATTTAATTTTAAAGATCACTTAAGCAATTTAAAGAAATTAATGTTCGAAAATCAATCATTCAAGACGAGTATTTGAAATGAAGGTTGTTCATTTTTATATCGCATCGATACACTTACAACCGGTTTCTGTTTCGGTTCATTCTCAATCACTTAGATTTCTTTACGATTCACAAGTCAAAAAGTTCTAATTTTATCAAACTACTATCAACTGATCATAAAAAAAACTAAAATCAGAAACGAAAACGAGTTTAAGTAACATTTGAGAACAGTTAATGACGTTCTTAACTTTAAATTCTCGGAAATACGGATTAGGGCATGCAATACGGTTTTCGGCTACCCGAATTAACCGGTTACCCGGTCGGAAAAATAAATTACTGGTTAGTTTTTACAAGTTACGTATTTCTTTTCATGTTAAAATAAACAAGTCAAAAGATGTTTCTTTTTTCTTCTTGTAGTTTCATATATTCATCAATCCAAGAATTCATCAATTTTATCAATCCAAGAATTCTAAGAAGAAATAAAATAATTATTTTTTTATTTATATTGATTTGATATGACGAACGGTTAAAGCATATAATTATTTTGTTTATAGAAATGTTAGTTTCGTGAGTCTTCCTTGTCCAATGAATGACAAGGAAAATCGGATTTCCTAGTTATTATAAAACTTAGTGTGACCATTACCTATTGACATTACATGATGTGAAAATTGTTAAGAAAAGTTTTATAACGTTTATGTTCTGTTTGTTTTTTAAGAGAGACATTGTGAATTAGTTTTATTATTGTTTTATATTCGTGTGATTTTGTTTTTGGAATTGACTTTATTTATTTTGAATTTAGACAGACTGGTAATTTTATTTTAATAATGTAAAATACAAGATTTCATCTGTTGTTTGATCTCATAAGAATGTATAAGTGTAAATAACAATAATAAATGATTTATTGCATTTATAATTTACAATAATAAAATTGGAGTAAATAAAAAGTGGCCTTATTGCTAAACAGCAATCTTTTCTAGGTAACCTAAGCCAAGAAGAAAATGTAACTATAGGGATACTGTGGGGAAGTGGGTGCAATGTTGGGAAGGGTTGAAATGTGCTAATTAAGCTTTTTCATTTGACACCCTACACGGAATAATTTAATAATTTATCTTTTTTAGTTACTTACTTTATGTTCTCTCGAAGACGCTGTTGCCAATTTGTTATATGTTATAAGGGAACACATGAACATTGTTACATACATACATACCGGCCAAAATTTTATAACCCTCCTTTTGGCTTCACCACCACATTCGGATAATAGACCGAATTTTCTTAAAATTCTAAGCGTTTCATGCATAAACCCTTTTATTTTTCTTGCAATAGAGTGACTCCGATGAACAGAATTGTTTATATCAGAAATTTAACAACAAAATATTTCAAACTAGTCATACCAGACAAAAGAACAGTCAACAGAATCTCAGGTTATAAAAAAACTGTTAAACTCAAAATTCATTAAGAGGAGGATTCAAAATCAACTGCGTAAATATGACATGTATGGTAATCTACCCCCTTATTCTGAAACTCAGGCAACTTCCGAGAATAATCTAAATCAATTGTTCACGCTCTGTATACAAGCGGTTTTCGTATTCTGTAACTCTTTTATATTAATTCACGAATCTATAGCCAGTTGCTATATATTTTTAATTTAGATGAAATCACTCATGGAAGTTCATTTTTATGGTCACTGATGCTTTTAAAACAGTTTATCGATACAAGATCAAATGTAAGCGTAAAAAGAGTTCAGTGGAGATCGCCGATATTGGACATTTCAAAATTGCAAACCATTGATAGAAAATACAAATAGGTATAGAGATTTTGACCCATTGGAGTAACTCACTTTTTTCGATGATTACGATTTAGGTTATCAGTTGAGTTAGCGAATAGGCTTGCTAACGTGCTACCGAGGGTTTACTTTTCGGAATAAGAAACAATAAATATCTAAAAATATAAAAAGAATACAAGTTTTATTGGACCACCCTGACGCGACAATGCATTCTAAGTTAATATATTAAAATAACTATTTACATCGATAAAAAATAATTATTTATATCGATATGTTACAAGTATTAATCGATATACCTGTAACATATCGATATCCTAACAACTGAGCGCAAACGATACAAAACTTCTACATCTCAGAACGTGATAGCTTGATGATATTAGCTGTTTCTAATGCAAGCAAATACATTATATTCCTTTTATTATAGGTAAGCACTCGAATCTTTCAAAATGACCGCTATTCTTATCATAGATCTATTTTATATCTAATGCGAAAACGACATTTTCGGGACTATTATCATGTACGTATAAACGTACCACTATAAACAGAATTATTAATTAAAAAATAATTAATTTGTGACTTAAATATTACTAAAATGTCTACAATTACTATTTAAATACCAAACTGATTTGAATATGAAACGGTTCGATTTCGCACTGAGCAAAGTGCATTTGAAATAACTCAACATACCTACTTTAAGCTGAAGAAAAAATACTTATTGTTTTTTACATACCACTCTTCAAATTACCTACTGCCCAAAAAGTTTTTAGCAATGTTTTTGGAGAACCTAAAAGCCACGCCATTTAGAAAAAAATAAGAGTTCACAGAAAAATTAATAATATACAAGTTCGGACAGCGACAATACCACGCCTATTCAGTAACCCTATAGGTGAGGGCTACCGTTTTTATCAAAGTTCATTTACGAGCGTGAACATAAATAATGTGAATAAATAATTTTATTAAAAATATCAAGCATAGTCACAAACACTAACCTCAGAATTTGCTATTTTTTCAACCCGCTTCATTTTGCAACTCCGTTTTTAAACCCTGATATTCATTGACACGCAATTTTAATTCCCTAAATAATTCTCAGGTACCTATTTATTGAAAATTTGTTTATTTGAAAAGGAGTGTGCGTAGCTCACCGATAGGTATTTGTCATTTTGAAGACCTCGCTTTACACTTGCGTCTCTATTGCAAATTCAAACTCTTAAGCCTCATTGATCAATAGATCGAAAAATCATTCAGTATAAGGTACATTGTACCTAAACAACAACGGACGAAAATAATGTCAACGTACCTTTATAAGGAATATATACGTATATTCATCGTCTTTTTCTTTGAATAAGAAAAAAGACACATTCTTAAATCACCATAAAATCATAAACACCAAATAAAATGTAACCATCCATCCATGTACCGTCAACTGTGGCATCTTTACTTTCCTTAAGCAACTTTACCACATCATACACTACGCTGCATATTAGGGAATATCTTGTTATCAGATGCAGTCAGTGCAAATTTTGCCGTATTGGTAGATTTTCTGATAAATTGTGGTATCACAAAAAGTATTTCAAGCTGGCAACTTGGTTAACTGTCAAGTAGTGTGACTTTTAATTTTATGTGGTCAATTGTGCTCGTTGCGACAACGAGAAAACTTTTGTGTTTTCTTACAGAAAATCAGCGTGTAGGTAAGTAATTTATGTTGAATTGTATTGGGTGTATACTTTTTTAAGTCTATTTCAATTATTTGATTCTTTAAACTTCCTTTTTTCTGAGTTACGAGAGGCGGTAATTTTGCTACAGGCTAGGTCAAGTTACCTCGCCTAGCTCGGTGGCAACTTTACCTACGACTAGGGTTGTCAACTATGAAATAATAATGAGTTCGGCTTATTTATTTCTTTTTATGATTACCTTTCGTATGTTATATATAATAAAGTTGTCAAATTTAATGCAATCATAATATTATAATTCGTATATTTTGTAGGTAGTAACTAATTACCTTTTTAGATATTTATCATTAGTTTTCAATTAATTTATTTAAACATAGTATAATATATTGATTATATCTTACCTGCTTATAAATACACCGTGATTTTTAAGTCACTGCTTTCCCGAAATACATGAACATATTTAGTCGAAGACCATTTATGAGCATTAAACAAAAAAAAATGTGTACACAAGGTACCTACCTAGACTAGTACTATTATAAAGAAGAAGGATTTGAAAATTACTGGCTCGATATAAAAATTCTTTCACCGTTTGAATGCTACATTATCCATGATTAATATAGGAATAAATATATATAAATTACAGGAAAAATTAATACTTATCGTGAAAACAGTGACTTAAAAACGTGTATGATCAAAGTATAATAAATAACTATATAATAGGCAGGTACCTAAGTAATCTACTTACTTCTTGCGCTAAATATTTCATTGGTACTATTACAGATCTTTTCAAGATGCCCCCAAGAAAATGCATTACTATAAAAAAAAGAGATAGAAGACGTTTAGGAGCTCGTAATTACAAAAATTATTCTGAAGAAATGCTGTTATTAGCTGTGGACCTAGTAAATAACAAAAATACAACCTCTTATGAAGCTGAGAAGCAATTTGGAATACCCAGACGGACAATTGAAAAGAGAGTGAAGAATCTTCATTCCGATAAACCTGGCCCCCGTTTCCGCTTAAATCAAGAAGAAGAGAAAAAAATGGTCAAAGTTCTCATCACGGCGGGTGATTTCGGATGTCCACTATCACGTTTGGATTTAAAGTTGGCAGTGTACGATTACCTGAAAAAAAACAATAAAACATATGTATTTGATGATAAGGTTCCCGGGGATTGGTGGGTCAAAAACTTTTTAGAACGTCATAAAGACGAATTGACATTGAGGTCTGTGCAAAATATTACGAAGGCCCGAGCGGGAAAAACCTTAGAAGAATTTAAAGATTATTTCAGTAATCTAGAAATTTTAGTTCAGGATCTGCCTCCTAAAAACATTTTGAATTATGATGAGACCAACGTGTCTGATGACCCAGGCTCTATGAAGTGTATTTTTCGCCGGGGCGTTAAATATCCCGAGAGGATATTAAATCACACTAAAGGCAGTATCTCCGTCATGTTCGCGGGTACTGCCGATGGAGATCTTCTTCCACCATACGTGGTGTACAAATCTGAAAATTTATGGTCGGAGTGGTGTAAGGATGGACCGGAAGGAGCACGTTATAATCGCACCAAAAGCGGTTGGTTCGATTCTGTCGTATTCTTGGACTGGTTCACGAATATAGTAATTTCCTGGGCTAAACAATTGAAAGGACCGAAATTGGTTATAGGTGATAACTTATCCAGCCATCTAAATCCAGATGTAGTTGAATTGTGTGAGGCTTATCAAATTCGTTTCGTGTTTTTGCCTTCAAGGTCAACACAACTTACTCAACCACTAGATGTTGCCTTTTTCGGGCCATTGAAAAAGTCTTGGAGGAAAATTCTTCTGCAATATAAAACAGAAAATCCTAAGCAGGCATCGCTAAACAAAAGCCACTTTCCACTTTTATTGAAGCAGTTGATGGATGCTGCTAATATAAAAAAGCAAAATTTGGTAAGCGGCTTTAAGACAACAGGTATATACCCATTCAATCCTTACGAGGTATATAAAAGATTGCCCGAATACGAAGATGAAACAAAATATGATGTTGACCAATCACTACTCGATTATCTCAAAGAGAACAAATATCCCAATCCAATAAAAAGAGGTAAGAACACCAAATTAACTGTACCAAGTGGTAAATCAGTAAGCAGCGTTGATATATCTAGTACCATCAAGCAGAAAGCCACCATAAAGAAGAACACAATTGTAAAAAAAACTCTAGCAACTGTAACTGAACGAATACAAGATCAAAACTCTAAAATGTCTGCAATAAAACAAAGTAAAACAGAACGACATCCAAACAAAACTTTGAGCAAGAAAGTAGACAGTAAACAGAAGCCACTTCAGAAAAAAAAACGTGTTGTAAGTACTTCAGACTCAGAATCAAGTTTCGTAATACCTTCTAGTGATACTTCAGACTATGATCTTAAATGTGATGAAGATGAAGACATAGAAAATGAAAAAAATGGAAATGAAAATGAAATAAGTGTAAAGAGTAGCGAAAGCTTAACAACTAAAGTGACCATATTATCTGATATAAAAAATACAGCTGACAATCAGGCATATTTTGATTTGAGCAAATATGGTCCATTTGAACTTAAACCTATAAACACTAATTCTAAAGTGAAAACAAAAGTTGATAGGGTTGGAGGAATAAAAAAGGAAAGAACAAAAATGCCAAAATTGACATCTCATAAAATGACCACCAACAATGAAACAGGTGCAGGTTGTAGTAAGGAGCCTGAGAAAAATACTTTGATGTCATATAATATTAATGATTATATATTAGTGCGATACATACTTGAAAAGAAAGTTCAATATTTTGTTGGCAAAATTTATGCAAAACTAGAAAATAGATACCAAGTTTCTTATTTAAAGAAATTAGGAAAAAGCGATAATACAAAATTTATTCAACCAAAGAAAGAAGACATTGATACTATAAATGAAGAAATGATTGTGAAAGAAGTGCAGCTGATGAGTATAAATGAACAAGAGACTGAATTTGTATTTTTAGAGGATGATGATTATGTGTATTTTGATTACTGATTCTGGTAGGTAGGTTGTTTGTAAGTCATTAAAGTGTTTTATTTCCTTTACACTAATTAACTTGTGCCATTCCAAAGAATTCAGTTTAGTTATATAAGTTAGTTTTTTCTTAGTGTTTTCTTTTATAATAATTAACTTGTGCCATTTCAAAGAATTAAGTTCCGTTAAAAACGTTAGTAACTATCGTGCTATATTAGATATTACTGTAATGTTAATATTTCAGAATTTTTTATGCTTAACTTTTATTTTGTTTCACGTTTTGGAACAATTTTATGATTTACAGAGTTTATATAATTTTTGTTACTTAAATACTATTTTGATTGATCTCTAATGAATAACATTGTACTTGCCTAATAAATAAATATCCATTAATTATATTTCTTTGATTTTATAACTTACTTTGAAAATTGACATCCCTGGCGACATCTACTTGCTTCTATGAAAAATTCAAAAATCTAAGGGCAACTTTACCGTAGTGTTACTAGATACAAAAATAAACAGTAAAAAGCTTCTATGACAGCAATATCGTTATTTTTGCTCAAGAAATAATAGTAACATTACGTTGCCTAACCTCTTGTATGGATTATTCTATGTAAACTCTTGATAAGGTAAAGTTGCCAAAAACGAGTCAATTTTACCTAGACAACAAAAAATGATATTGTAATGAGTTTATTTCCTATTTAGATGAGTTCAACGGGTTAACTAATATGGACGCGTTTGCTTTACAGACTGAATCATTAAAAATCAAAGTAACATGCTCTATGTATCCATAGTTTGCTAAAATGTCTAAAAATATGGTAATGTTGCCAGAGTTGACGGTATCCTTCTTCAACTAACATCACTTATCCCCTACCTATGACATCAAATTATTTGGCGCTAAGTAACAAAAAAAACTTAACATTGCACATTATAAAATAATAATAATAACTAATATGTATAATTCTCGCATAAAATTACTTTAACACAAAGTGAGTAAACTGCCTTTTACGCGAAATAGTCAATAGAATAAATTATAGAATACAATACGAATTGACCTACCTTATCACTTATTTTAAAAATATCAAATTCACAACCAAAATATAAATAGGTAACTTATTTATAATAATGTTATTAATTATTTGCGTTAATAACATGTGCACTTTCGTCGTGTTTTTTTATAATAGACGTCTCGTCCTCTTCAAGTCAGTCTTCCGAATGGATAACAAAATGGCGGACAGTGGCGCGCTATGCAACGTACTTACAGAAAGGGCAATACACGAGCACGGCTAACTTGCCGCGGTCGGTAAGGCAGTTCTACCAACATATGCCACATTTCAAAATTATAAAATTAGATCCTCAAATGCAAATTTTCACTATTAACAGATGTCACTGGTGTTTAAAATAATTCCATGATTTTATGCTTATTTTTATCATTTTGTATATTCTTTTTCGAAAAAATCAATAAACAGTTCCTAAATCGACGAACAAGTTTAGACGAACAAAGATAACGCGTTGACTCGTTCGTCGTGAGTTTTAAGTCTAGTAAAAACTATAGTAATTCTTTTATATTTATCAAGTTTTTGCGTAATTCTACTACCTATCCTATCCTATTATATCCAAAAAAATATATAAAACGTACCTTATCAAAATCATGTTTTAATAATCTATTACGTATTCGATCGTAAGACGAACTTCCAAATCCGCTTGAGCAGCTATCAAATTAAAAGAAAAAAGTGACGTTAAATTATTATCACCAAATGATCTTATTTGATTATCATTATCATTAGTTCTTTGTCAGTGCACCCAGCTAGCTAGCTAGATTATGGTAAATCAGCACAATGAACGAGCGTTTTGCCTAAACAGGTAAGCTAATTTATTAAGTAATAGACTCACGAAATATCCACATCTTGTTGCAACTTACTTTGAACAGTGTCTAAAATACTAATTCAATCACGTCATGTTCTTAGGACAGCTAGTCTTAGCAGCGATAATACAACTGCGCCAATGTGCACAAAATTCTTTGTCGACCGCCGCCATTATGTCAGCAGCGTTGTATAAAATCGTTTTGTAGAATATGCATATTGCCGTGTCTACTTTAAACATCTACTAACCTGTGTGATTAGATCGAAACGCAAAAATAATGTCAATATCACTAGAACACGAATGGTTAATGTGGCACGCACATCTTTCTTGGAGTCCGCAATATGTTTTATGGTGATTATTAGCGGCGCCGTTCGTCGGGCTCTTTATTAATTTCTTTCTCTCGGGAACGGACGAGCGACGACTGTGCCAGCAAACTAGCTACATACACTTCGAAACAAGGACGCGATACCGCCCTGCCTCCGCACCCGGTTCCTCAGCTCGCTCGTACACTCGATGCGCCAATCGACGACCATTCGGCCGTCGGGCTTCGCTGCAGTCGTAGTGTCTTTGTGTCACGTTAAAAATTATCAACCATAAATACCCGTTTCAATAGACGTGTATAGGGTGACGTTCCGCACAAAACTCAATAACGTTCTTCTTGTCTGTGTTATTTAATTCTGGAAACTTCGCGTGTTTTTTTTTCTTTATGTTCGATATTTTGCAACCAGTACGAATGTCGAGTTGTTAAACCTCATTAGTTGCATAGTGGCCAAGAAATTAGTGATCAATATTGTCGATGATGTCATCTTTATGTTGCGTAAATGTCAATTAATATATCAATCAAGAGCTAAGAGAAATACCTGAAATGTTCGTAAAATTAGTGCAGTGATAATTAAAATCACGAAATTCTAATTTCGTACCCTTTACGGACAGATATTATCGTTCGTCGTCATAGGTACAAAGGTTATCCTCAAGTTTTACTTCGCATAAAATAATTCCTGTTACTAACTTGAATAGATAAATTACTTATATATTTTACCTATCTTATTTTTTCCATGATGGATCCCATGAATAAACTAATATAAATATCTTATTCAGTTAATGTAGTTTCTTATATATACTAGTACCTAAATTCATTTTAGTTGTTATTGATTCGTTTTACAACTCAAAATATAAGAAAAATGTACGAACAAGATAAAAAATAATGCTTAACAATTGATTGGCATACAAAATAATAATAAATGATCCTTCTGCCGAGAAGCAAGGTGACTTATATTTTTATCTTAGAATCTTCAAGTGCCAACCACTGAAATCTTCTGCTTTTGTAAATGACTGGTTTGGATAAATCCATAGAGACATAGGATAAATTAAGTTATGCCAGAGTTGTTTAGAGAGTGGTTTATAAATAACTTCCTTTCTACGCTTGGAGAAAAGTGTGCCTTTCCTATTGTTGAAGAAACAGTACATAGGTACATAACCATTTCTTTTTTGTTAATTTTTAACAAAACCTACTGGTTTCTTAATACAAAGCTTTCGGTGCGGTCGTGAAATTTCTAATTAAGAACAAAACTTTAAATGGATTTTCTCACAATTGGATAGTTTATTCTCATATCATAAAAATATTAAGCAAACTATATTTACGATATATACATAAATATAAATAAAAAACCCGCCTACGTGAAAAACAACTAACTGAAAAGGTAAAAATAGGTAATTATCCAACATCATATCTTGTTACAGCCTTTTCAGTTAGGTAGTTGTTTTCACGCAGGAGGATTTTTTGTTTTTCATTATAATTTTATTTATGTTTCATAGTCTCTAGTCAGACTAATAATGATTCAGAAAGTGAAAGAACAAAGTCCATATTTTTAAACTTTATCATTGTATTATTGTCATAAGTATTATGGTAATAATATTTTTTTGGAATCCTTGTATTATAACCCATTAATTTATAGGTACCCATATTGTAGTATTTAAAACAAACAAAAAAATATGATTATATCAAACATTGTTAAATTCATAAAATTTTATTGAAATTACCCGTAAAAATAAATGTTTATTTCCTAATAATTTTTCTAATTTATTCAATTATAGTGATTATTTGCGACAGTAAACACTAAAAAGGGTCAATCTCACGAGATCTCGTAATTGGCGAGATCTCGTGGTATTTATGATCATAAACTTGCGAGATCTCGCCTGAGCCCCGATCTCGCGAGATTGCATTCCCTAGCTGTGGAAGTTGTAGAGTATTAAATCGTTACCATAATAACGATTGTTAACAATTCAATTTGTCATTTTAATTATATTCCATGTCATCCTTCTCTAAATCCATTATTAAATAATTTAATCTGTTTACAAAGGATTAAAAAATGTTTTGAATAATTGTAATCGGTACAATCTTTGTCGCTAATATTAAGAGCCCTCTTACAATTTGCACTCTGTGAGATTAGATATTTGAAGCTTCCCGGCGACTTGTATATAAGGTCAGGAGTTCACAATCCTGTATTGAAACTACGACCAAGCTATTTTGATACTATTTCCCAATTTTTGTATATTTTTTAGTATTCGTATGGGGTGATTAATTATCGCTGCTCAAAGCCCAAGAAAAAGAATGTATTGTGTTTAGGATTAATGTATGTACTTATATATATTATATTATATGCGAGTTTTTTTTATTCCACCATAACTTTTGAAAGACTCAACGGATATGCATGTATAGGGTACTTCGATCAACAATAGGGTATTATGAGAAACGTTACGTCATCACGAGTGACACTCGTTTTTTTGTTTAATATTCAACACGAAGTCAGGGGACTGTTTTGTGGAACATCCAAGAGACTGACTACGTAGAAAATTTTGATTAGCCAAGCCATTGTTAATTAGAATATATAATGTCCACATACCCCGTCCTATACAAAATGCAAAGACAATAGTGAAGCCGTGTGAGCAAAGAGCGTGTATTAATTGATTGCCAAGAAGTGATAACAGTATACAATGATTACACCAAAATGTTGGAGATTTTAATTGATCAGTTTCTTATCTATGCAAAATTATTAATATAATTACAATTTGCCATTCATAACTGTTCGGTTCATAAAGATGATATATGAAAATCATCAAATCAAAAATAAATGAAGTAAATAATTAAAATAAATAAACTATTTTTGACTCTGAATTCGCCTTCTCTATATCATGCATACGCAATAATATAGACATTTGGATTTACGCATCTTAAATGGCAAATAAACTACCCATTTGGGTAACAAAGATACAGTGGTCTGCGGCGTGTCTTCATTGATATACATACCTACTGAATCTTTATATAAATTTAAACATTTCAATCAGTTTTAGTAATTGATCGTGACTAAACAAAGTTCATACGTCAAGCAAAATCTCAGACACTGATCTTAAGTATTAACTACCTAAACGTACCGTACGTTTAGATTAACGGTAACAGTAAGTTAAACTGCATGCCAATTCTGCTGTTTTTGTAAAGTCCAATATTATTAGTGCAATGTCGTCCTCAGGGGTGGCAAAGTGCAGGGTGTGCAATGCACACGGGCGCGCGCGTTGGAGGTCGCCTTGCCCACAGTGTACTGTGCCGTGCCAATGATGGTCTAATATAAATATGTATAAAAAGAAGGCTCGGGGACGCCAGAGCCCTACCTGCGCCCGGGCGCCTGTTGTGCTTAAGACGGGCCTGGTCTTCCTCACACATTAATAGTGACAGATATACCTATAATAATATTGTACTTCAGGTAGATATTACAATGGCAAATTGCGAGTAGTTGTGATTCTATTGAGATGCGATAATTACGTAAACATTAGCATAATAGGGTTGACGACTGGGTAAAGAAATCCGTCAGTCAGATAATAGAACAATATTAGATACGTATTTTTTTACTTCAATTTAACAAGAAATAGCTTAGATAACAGGCATTTAAGTTGAGGAGTGGAGCTTGCTACGTCACAATTTAGTAGAAACGTCGTACCATAACGTGACTTCATGCGAAATTTCAACTCCATGTAACGTCGTAATTTTATGATTACGAATAAAATAAAAAAAAAGAACCTGTTTAATATTTTTTAACACTACCTAAAGGACAAACAAACAAAAATTAGTCGTCATCCCTATTAACATGCTGGGTTATTCCCAGTCCTTTGATCGGTATGAGCAGCGGGTTTTTTTTCCTAATCCTCCGATCGGTAAGGTAAGAGTGGGAATACTTTTTCCCACAGGTACCTCAGTTTGAATAGACCTGTCCATTCAATCTGAGGTAATTAATAATGATATTAAGATACGCTTCCTTCTACCGAGGACCTAGCATCCAGATATCTTTGCGTATTCATTGATTACAAAATGTACCTAAACTATCTATACTACGATTGCAATGGATACTACTATACCTACGAAATGTATGATACAACAGGTACCTAAGTAGTGTGTTTCGCTTGAAGTAAACTAGTGAAATCAAATTACAACAACTCAAATTTGAGTGTAACAATTTATGCGCGGTAGTGCTATTACTACTTATTTCTAAAATCGTTGATACCTAGTCAATGAAATTTGTATGAACTTCATTTAGTTACACGGTAAATATGTGCATTGATTTTACTTTTACCTTGTATTCATTAGTAGATTAAAAAAATACCTAGCTAAAAATATACATTCAACAACGATGGCTTTAGTTTTCTATCAAATATTTTGATAGAAAACTGCCAGCCAGAAGTATAGATTACGAGCTGTAATACTGCGTAACACAAAGCACTAGTTATTGACCACGTGATGCAAAATAATGTATCGACCCATCAACTTTTCTGCGCAATCTCCGTAGGTTCTGTAGAAATAGAAAGTGGAAGCCGAACATACATACGATACCGCTCAAAATATCAGTTCAATTCCGTACGCTGCGTGTCGCGGTCGCCGCCAGTCGCTTAAAATTAACGGTGGCATATTCCAGAATCATCAACGTTATCGGCACGATAACAGCAAGCGTAGATTATTGAGACACGTCATCGTAAACCTATGTTATCTGCATTTAGCTGACTATAGTGTTTCTCGTAATATTTTTAGAATAAGTTTTCTTTCAGGTATACCTACTATCAGCAGTGTAAAAAGATAATTATTATTGTTTTTATGGAATAAATAGTAACACTTATTATTTGTTGTTCATATTAACTTGTCCTATATGATCATAAAAATAGATACCATAGAAACAGGATTCTAATAATTCTATGTAAAGGCTGCATAAAAACTCATTTAATAGATACTTTTGACATTAAAACAAAATAACGATATACTTAACAGAAGACGCCTAATTACTTGTGCCGTTCTCCAGGTTCCGTTATAATCTCGAAGCGTTGGCCTCAGTGAGCAACAGCGAGCACTGGCCCTAGTGTCCGTGAATAGAGTTGTCATCTTTCT